AAAATTACAAACATGAATAAGAATGCAGTCATACAAAAATTAAGAAATACTTGTGAATTGTGACTATTGCCTAATAATGTTTAAGTCTATACAAGTATACATGTTTATGTTTCAAGTTGTTTACTGCAAAATCGTAATGCCTATGTGATTTAACTGGAAAAATCATATGGTCAGTCTTATTAAAGCTGAATTTTTGAAAATTGATCTCATTATTAGCTGGAGGAGGTAAATAGAAGCACTGCTAGTAGAGGCATGGTTCGCGAACCTAAAGTGATGGTGTTTTGGACAAAGCCTGGAAGCGAGGTCTAATTAGTTTTTGTACAAATTCGGTATCTAGTTGAGGGTGACAGAACTTAAAAGACACAAAAGGAAATGAGAAGGTAAATGAGTTCACAAAAGAAAAACCTCTGCTTGATATACTTAGAGTGGATTTCACCAAGGTTGTCAAATCAACAGTCCGTTATTCTCCACCTATAGGGTAACAGTCCGTCAAATACAGCAAATGAGCTTCAAGTTTCAATAAACAAATTTTAGCAACCAATAGCTATGAAAAAAACTTGTCATTGAAACATCACCCGCTTATCGCATATTAAGAAATTACATATAATTCTGTCAAAATTTAAAGAAATGTTTAATTTTTGAATAAAATTCATGCTTTAATTACTATTGATGAGTTTTTATTCATGTTTATATTATTTTCTTCAATTGATATGCTATTTTACTGATTCAACATCACCTACGGTGTGCTTTTATTCCTATAAACCTCTTGCAGATAGCCATTAAACACCTACTTGATGACAGGCTCTACCAAAAGGTTCATAGATATTGATCGTCTCCAAACTTTCATTCATTTACTTGCCGTTCATCAGAACCATTATGGCACCTTAGATTGATATTCCCACAAAACCATTCAGGTTTTTTGGTATCCAAACATCCATAAAGTTGAATATTTTTCGTTGTTCAGGAATAGCTAGAAAATCGACCTATTATTTCTCTCATTTTCATTGGTCCGTCTAAATAACTGACCGTCTTTTCTGAAATGATAAAAATTTGAAATTCTGTGAAAGTTATCCTTATTCTAAAGCACAAAGACATAATATTATATCTATAATGTACCCTTTTTTTCACGACTTTATTCTACATTTTAATAGAAATCACTGATATTCAGAGAGCTTTGAGAGGTTTCGTTAAATTGCACTTCGATAAGATATTTTCCCCCTGGTCCAAGGGACCGTTAAATATTAATGTTGGTGAAATTGGAGATTTAGATGCTAATCCTTTACTGCAATTTGATGTAATTGAAATGTCTGTGGTCTCAAGCACTGGAAAAATAATGGAAGGTAGAAATATAACATTGAATGTATCTACATTATTTTCATCTTTTAGAGCCGTTTTACACACAAGAGAATTACTCCGAAAATTATGGTCATAATTACGCCGCAAATTTGCATAGAAAAAATATAAAGATTTTCTCTACAACCTGTATGACACAAGCGAACAAAATTTCCGAGTAATTCATATGATACGCCTGCGCATTAGAGTAATATTTTCGAATGGACATAACCTTAACGGGTATGACGTCCAATATAATCGGAAAGACAACAGACGTCGTTGATTTAAATTTTATTTTTGAAATCGAGATCTTGGTTAATATTATAAAATTTCTCAATGGTTGGACTATCGCATCCGGCGCCTGATGCCGCAAATTTCTAGTTTAGTAATTGGGTGACTTCACCTTGTACAGGTTTGGCCATTTGTGGTAGTCCTCCAAAAACAGTGTAACTTCTTCCCGATTCCACGACATTATGAATAAACAATAAACGCTTCTTCGTACGTCTCGAACAGGACCACATCCACAAATGTTGAGTGAGGTTATGTTGTTGACGTTGACATTTGATGCTGACATGCACGGAAGTAACCCTCTGCACCGATTCTCGCGCATATTCTATAGAACGGGTTTTATATTTTTACCATGCAAATTTTCGCAAGAATTCTTTTAGGTGTAATACGGCAGCAAAAATTTTCGGCATAATTATAACATAATTTCCATCAATTGATCTTTTAATAGTGAGATGCCATGTGGCATATAAGACATTTTTTGTGGCTGTTGTTTACATTCCTGACAAAATTGCTGTTGATGAATTTGAACCATTCTTTGATGCTGTTGAGCAACTGGATTATTTGCACGACTGTAATTCCCTGTTTTTAGGAGATTTTAATGTGCCTCAACTTGTAAATGGCAATCTTCTAGACCGTAAGACACGCATTATCCATAATTTTTTGGACATTTTTAATTATAAGCAGTCAAATAATGTCTTAAATCAACTTGGTCGGTCGCTAGACCTGGTAATTTCTAAATTACCCTGTACTGTTAAGCGTGATGAACTACCTCTAGTGCCAGAAGATAGTCACCAGCCGGCACTAGCTGTTGATTTGACTGCCATATTGTTTAAAGTACCTAAGTTTACGTACATTCAAACATAGTATAATAACTTATAACTACAGAAAGGCTGACTTTGTCAACCTGTATCAAGAGCTAATTCAATTTGACTGGGATGTTTTATTCTGCTCTTCTGATGCTAATTATATTGTTGATGTATTTTATGGCAACATTTTCCAAATTTTTTACAGGCACATACCTCTGTATAAGAATTACAGTCACCGATACCCGCCTTGGTTTCACTCAGCTATTATTAAGAACATTAAACTTAAAGCTAAATTTAGGAAAAAATCAACAGGTCTGCTTTTGTTGATGATCTACAAGAATTCAAACGTTTGCGCCGCTTGATAAAAAACCAGATTAAATCAGCGTATGATCAATATATTGAAAATATCCAGAATTCTTTAACAATTAACCCCAATGCTTTTTGGTCATACGTTCACTCCAAAAACAACACATCACGAATCCCGGGGATAATGAAATTTCAAAATAATTCTATAGATCGGCCTCAGGATATAGTAAACGCATTCAGTGAGTTTTTCAGCAGCGTCTATGTCACTCACAGGACCCATAATAATGCCTCACTAAATCATAGTAATTTATTTGTCCATTTTCATCCAATTGAGGAAAATGAAGTCAGGAAGGCCATTAAATCACTAAAGGATAAGATGACATCTGGTCTAGATGGTCCTTTATAGTCAAAGATTGTGTGGAAGTGTGGAAGTGTTTGTTGGTGTTCTAACTAGGATTTTTAATATTTGTCTTATAACAAGAAGATTTCCAGATATTTGGAAGATCGCTAAGGTCTGGCCAGTGTTTAAGTGTGGGGATAAGTCAAATATTGAGAATTACAGGGCAATCTCTATATTATGCATGTTCTCGAAAGTCTTTGAAATAGTCTTGTACAGTCGCATTTACACTGCCGTCTAGCGTCAGCTGTCATTGCATCAACACGGATTTGTCGCTAATCGCTCAACAACCACAAATCTATTTATAATAACGCAGTACCTCTCGGAAGCAATTGATAGTAATGAGCAAGTTGACGTTATTTATACCGACTTTTCGAAGGCTTTCGATAAAATTAACCACAAAACTTTATTAAATAAGTTAGGTGCACTTGGTTTCGCAGATGGTGCTAGGGAGTTGATGAAATCTTAGATATCCTATCGTTGACAATTTGTTAGCTGTAATGGCTTCCAATCTGAGACCTACTTGGCACCTTCTGGAGTTCCTCAGGGGTCCAACCTGGGACCATTACTGTTTTTGATATTTATTAATGACCTCTGTGACTCAGTTGAATGTGAACGCCTATGCTTTGCTGACGACCTAAAAATATATTCGCAGATAAATACTCCTGATGATTGTATCAAGCTACAACACCAATTAAATTTTGTGCTGTCTTGGTGTGTAGAAAACAAGTTGGAGCTTAATGTGAGGAAGTGTAAAATAGTCAGCTATACCAGGAAAATTAATGTTTGCGAATATCCGTACTCTATTGAGGGGTCTGTGCTAGAAAGATGCTCTGATGTACGTGATTTAGGTATAATCTATGATCAAAAGTTAACTTTTAGTCAGCATATAAATAAAAAGCCATAAGAAGCATTGGCGGCTTATGGTTTCATAGTAAGGAATTGCAGGAATTTTCATAACATAAAGTCTATTAAGCTATTATATTATGCTTATGTTAGATCTAGAGTCGAATATTGTAGTACTATTTGGAGCCCTTACTATGAATGCTATAGCATAGCTATTGAAAAAGTACAACGGAAGTTTATGAAGTTTGTTCTGTTTAGGATTGATGGGACATATCCAGAGAGAGGTACAAGTAATGAGGAACTATGTAGTCGCTTACATGTTGACTTTGAAAAAACGTAGGTACTGTGCCTCAATAATATTTGGCTACAAAATGATCAACAATTTAATTGATTGCCCCATGATCCTGGAACAGATCAAGTTTCGTACTCCAACGTTTGCATCTCGCAATCATAAAATATTCAGGCTTCCTAGAGCTAGGACAAACATTCTTCTCAAGTCACCGTTATATTTAATGTGCTCTAACTCAAACAGAATTGGATGTTACTGTGATATATTTACGACAAATTTTAATTACCTGCTAAAGGCAGCTAAGGCTTATTCGGACCAATAGCTCATGTTACAAATTTATACCTGTGTTGCATTTGTTGTTTTCTTTTCGCTTTTTTTCCTTTGTATTATGTTTATAAATTGTCCTATAAATGGAAAACTGTTGGACAATAAAACTATTATTATTATTATTATTTTCTGAGTAATTCTCTTGTGTGTAAAACGGCTCTTAAACAACAGAAACTATTAGTTATCATATAAGGTGAATCGCGCATCCTTGGACAAAACCATTGCCTAACCGTAGCCGAGAAAAGTATAAGGAGCTCATCGTGACACTAACCTAGAGAGAGGTACATCTGGTAGGTCATATGGCCGCCGCAGGTCTCACGAGCGACGAATGGCAAGACAAGATGCCGCAGCGTGGCTTGCTTCGATGCAACGAGAGGAATGCCTCGTTTGAAATAAATTTTTGGCGCACCCAGCGATAGCTTTGTTTGTTCTCCGATGCGAGCGCGCATTCTTCTTGGCACTTTGTCTATTATTGCACGATTCTACGGTACTTGTCGCATTGTAGTCATGTTGCAGCGGCGTGTTTGCTAATAGGCATTTCCACGGCTCTTTGGGTAACATTTTATTTTGTGTATGTGCTAATATGGTGGAACTCTAACAACCTTAACTTCTGATGGTATACAACTATACAGGGCCTTGGACTATGTAAAGCATGAATTGCTTCTGAATAAACTAGTTCAGTATGGTGTAGTTTGTCCACCACGTGCCAGCATGTGTGTTTACCAAGGAACTGCAACAATCTGCAAGACAATACTTTAAGTGCCTTAGATAAGAAAATGGCACTAGCGTTAATCTCTATAGACTATTCGATAGGGTTTGACACCATCAATCATAAAGTATTACTTGCTAAATTAAACTACATAGGACTTAATAATGTATTCCGTTCATTTTTCGAGAGTTACCTTCACCAAAGAACTCAGTGTTTTTCTCAACCAAAAAATGACTTCAGTGACAATAATTCTCTCAAGCGTACCTCATGGCTCTGTATTGGGACCGTTACTGTTTCTCATATACAGGGTGGCGCATCGAAAACGAAACACGCATTTACTGGCAGCTCAGTTTTTTTTAAACGCTCAGACCCGTTGATTTTGTTTTCGAGGGGGACACATGTTTGGCAGAAAAGCACGTCAGCACGTGCAGCCCCCTAAGCGGGGGTGACAGCACCACCAAAATCTTAAATGGGAAAGGGGGGTCGAGTGATACCTTATTTTTAAGGTCTTTCAATTCCCTTTATAATGATATAAAATTAATGTACTTCAGTTCAATAGTTTTGAAGATTTACTAATTTAAAGCTTAAATAAAACTAATACATCATCACTAGTGGAGATCAATGCATTTGGCAGCAAAGTAATTTAAAAATGAAGAATGAACTGACCCGTTAGGCAAGTAAATGTAGAAAACGACCACCACGACTTTCCAAGCAATAAGATTTTAAATGACCCCACATAAAGAAATCCAAAGGTGATAAATCTGCTGATCTTGGGGGCCATTCAATGGCACATATTCTACCAATCCATCGATCTGGAAACGTCTGATCTAAATATTGTCGAACACGTAATGCGTAATGTGGTGGGGCACCATCCTGTTACCATCCTGTTGGCGTCTTCCAGTAATTCCAAATACATTTCACCTGTCAAATTTCCAGGTAAGAAAAAAGGACCAACTAAATGATCGCCAAAAATACCAGCCCAAACATTTAATTTTTGCGGCTGCTGTGTATGAACCTCATGATAAATTCTGGGATTAGAAGCGGACCAATATCGGCAGCTATGACGATTTACTACGCCATTTAAGAAACATTCGTGTATCAAGTAAATTCTTTTAGTCAAATTTCTTCTGAAAGTAGAACAAACTAATCTGATGTACCTATTAAAGTCTACTTTAAGCTTTAAATCAATAAATCTTCAAAACTACTAAACTGAAGCTCATGTATTTAGCATCATTATAAAGGGAATTGAAAGACCTTTAAAATAAGGTATCACTCGACCCCCCTTTCCATTTAAGATTTTAGGGTTGGTGTCACCCCCGACCAGGGGGCTTCACGTGTTAACGTGATTTTTTGCCAAACTTGTGTCCCCCTCGAAAACAAAACCGACGGGTCTAAGCGTTTTTCCAAAAAAAAACTGAGCTGCCAGTAAATGCGTCTGTTTCGTTTTCGATGCGCCACCCTGTATACGTCCAGTAATTTGCAGACGATACACAGTTGCTTCATTATTTTAACCCAGATTATGTCAATAGTACTACTCAAATTCTACAAAACGATGTTAGTAAATTAATTAAATACTCTTCAGATAATATACATATAATCTACTTGTTAATCAACAAAATTCTAAAATATTATTTTGCGCAGAAAAAAAAACATACAATGTAACAGAGCTCTTGAACATTCAGATAAATAATCAAATCTTGCGATTTTCTGAATCTGCAAAAATTCCTGGTGTTATTTTTTTATACAAAATTAAGTTTTATAGGACATGTTAAAAAAATTTCCCAGAAAACCTACATAAGGCTACGTATTCTTATAGCAAACAAGTATTTACTAAATTTCAAGTTGCATAAAAAACTATGTCAAGCATTGGTCATATCTATACTAAATTATGGTAATATCGTATACTACACGTGTTTAGACAATTTCACTAAAAACATTATTCAAGATATTCAAAACAATTGTATACGATTCATCTTTGACTTACGTAAATTTGCTCATGTATCAGCGAAATATTCCGTTCTAAACTGATTAAAAATTAATAACTTGGTCAAGTATCACTATTCAGTTTTTGTTCACAAGTTGCTGCTCCCGTCTAAACCCTCTTACTCGAGGGAACAAAATTCATTTAATAATAATGTTGACTGTGGAACTCTCAGAGAAAAGAATACTAGCAAACGTCTACACTTTTTGAACGAAGTTTATCCTACAATTTTGCTATTATTTATAATGACCTTTTTAAAGTATACTCGTATGAAGAATTTTCATTACCTATCTTTCCACAAAAAGTTAAAGCAATATTACTCAACCCTCCAAACATATAATTTACGTAATTATTAATTTCTTTTTTATTCCTTCTTTAATTCAGATTAATAATTTTTGGTGAACTTGGGTTTACAAAGTATGCGTTTTTCTTTTTTTATTTTTTACTTTCGACTTAATGAATCAAATCTGTTTGTGAATAGCGTATACTTTTGAACATCTGCTAGCGACTATATGGTTAATTGTAAGAGTAGCAGCATGCTAAACTTCGCCATGTAAGTCTGACATTTGGCTATACTACAATGTAATTGTGGATAACTAAAGACGTCTATTACTATTATTAACTTCGTGCTACCCAAGGATTTGCAGAATTTTCATACTAGGCAAATATGTAAAGGGTAGGAAGGCGCCCAGTGTCTTGGGACTAAGAATATACCACAAATGGTCCTATGTAGCAAATCTATGTTCATCCTTGAAGCAGTCCGAAACATGTTTAAAAGGTTCTTTATCAGATAAGTGTTTGTACAGTGTGTCTGAGTTTGTTGATGTTTGCGAAATTCTATTTAGTTTATTACTCAGATCTGACTTGACGAATCCAATGAATACTAATATGTCTCCTGAATAAGAATGAATTATTATTATGTCTCTTGTATAATAAAAAATTATTACTTGTATTAAAAACATACAATACTTTTACCGTTATTTCTGTAGGGATGGGCCAGTTTCGGTTTTCAAATGCGGTTTGCTTATAAACTAGGTTAACCTACACACCTTGCGGCGCCTGATTTGAATACTGACTCACATAGTCCTACCCTATGACAGTGGTTGCCAACCTTTTCAGCGTGTTGAGCTACTTTGATAGTTTTGAAATAAACCGTGAGCTACCTAGTCGTAAGCAATGTAAGCCAACTCATATGAAATTATACACAGTTATGTGCGACATACATGTGTTTATTTTACTAATACTAATACATACTAATAAACTTTAATAAACTAATACATACCACATAATTACATCCATTCCTACCAATCGTAGGTGTTTGAAAATAAACAAAATTTTTCTTCAGCCACAATGGCTTATCATAAACGACTTAATAACGTCATTTCTTAACTGTACAACTATATCATTGATCATTACTTCTACTCGTCTTATCACTGTATTAGCAGAAAATTGCATAAATTTTATAGCAGACACTATCTCATCTTTATTTCTAAAGTTGGCAAATAATGGACCTTCTAAAATCACCTTCATAAGGTTTCTTCTTTTGTGCAAATTATTTGGGACACCCGGTATGATGCTTCAGTTGCAGACTTACTGTTGTCGATTGTTTTTGAAAACAAGGTTCGGTCCTAGATTTGGTCGTCAAAATTAAAAACTCGACTGTAACTTGTTGTGCCGATGATACTCAATTATTGTTAAGCTTTTCACCTGATGATTTCAAAATGGTTGGACTAAAATTGATATTGGTCTCGAAAGTATTATTAACTATTCTGCTATGTTCTATTTTGCAACAATGAAAAGAGACACCTAGAAGCAAGCCTGAACCTGAAAATAAGCAGACAGATTTAAAATTTAATCATGTATGCAGAAGTTTGGGTATTCATAGACGAAGAGATACACGCATGTTAACAGCGCCACCAAAACATGCTATTTTAGGCTGAAACTATTTCATACCAACAGGCGCTTACTCAGTTTTAAAACAAAAAAGCAATTAATTATTTCCAAAATTTTATATGGAATCGTTACGTATTACTAAATACTTGTAACAAGCATACATGATTTAAATTTAGTGTATATGAACACATTATCCATACCAAGACATGGCACATCCATGTTTCAGCGTTCTTACTCATATAACGCGGCCAAATATTAAAATGCATTAAACGTCAATATTAGGTATACACCAAATCATCATAAATTTATTTAAGTAACTATTAAAACAAAATATTTTAATCACACAATAACAAAAAAATATCTGTAGCACTTAATCTTTGTTGAATATAATTTATGTACACTAACACAAACATTTCAGAAGCATTCAATACTTTATAATGTATCGACTAAAATACATTATTATAGTTTATAATATATACGCAATTAAAACTTTTTTATACAGGGTGTAAACGTTAATACAGTCATTAATGAAAAGGTTAATAGCGGCGGTCAAAGCAAGTTAAAAAGTTCATATGACCCATGGTCCAAAAGTCAATAGATTTTTGTCTAAATGGCTTTATAGTTTACAACTTTGAGTGCTATCGACCACAATCACCACAATCTTACTAATTTTTATAATCTAATCTAAAACGTTTTTAAATTGGGTAATTAACAAATAAATGGCATTAAGTTCTTATAACTTAAGCCAAAATTTGTAGTTAGTAAGTAAGTAAGTTTGATTAAATTGAATATTTAAAACACACATGACAACAGCGCGTCGGTCATCATCACTCTTATCGAACCAGCAATCGATCGCAAACGTTAACAGTGGTTAGTATGTTGTTTTGTTTTTGTTCGCGTACGTCGTCGTCTTGATTTACGGAATTACAAATTTTAAATATCGTGGAAATCAATGCAGATAACAGCACTCGGAATTAG